TTAACTCCTTTTTTCCTTGGGTGCCCTGATGCTCTCTGCAAAAGCCTCCCCTCCTCTGGCTCTCTATGCTAACCCAGTTCTCCTGATTTTCCTAGCTTCCACACTTCTTCTATCAGGAAGAATCACTAAAACCCTTTTGTGAACACTGTTTGCTGCATTCAAGCATAAGAGTGCACTGCTGAAGTCTGCTGTGCATTCTAGATTAACTGTGCACCATATTTCTGCTTTAATTACCGTGCAAGGGTTTATTCAGATCTTCGAAATAAAATGAACCACACAAATTAAGCAGTAATACCGAAGCCTCTCCTGAACCACAGAGCTACCCCATTCAAGCTGCTGCAAAACCACTCTCAGCAGATACATACTAGATAACAGTTACAGCAAAGAAGCACAGCATGTGCACCTCCCAAACTCCCCCTGTATGTAGTGACAACTGAAATGCTCTAGGTGTATTTCAGCATGCCACACATCCCTCATACATGATCCATGAAGTTAAGACAAAAGGATCAATGTCCATGGCACATTCACCATGCCATACACACTCTACACGCACACTAGTTTATGTGGGTGCTTCAAGTATTAGGTCACCATGCAATACAATAGAATTCACAGGTATACAGACATTTAAAATCTAATCTTAACCTCCAATCTAATAAAAATCTACAACAAAATCTGATCGTAATATTGGCCTAACACTCTCCTCTACTAGAACCTTAGCCATTCCTAATTCACTAGCAGACATCAGGAAGCTCCATTCATGACAGCAACTTAACTCGACACTTTCCTTGCACAAACAGATCTTTGAGTGTTGACTTGCAGAATACCTTTCAAAGGCCACAAGGGCAACAGGACTGCAGCCATCATTATCTTTGGGAAATGTACAAGGCTCAGAGAGAAAAAGCAGCATCACCTTACAGGTTAATTGTTATGGTTGTGGAAGGAGTGGGGCAGGGAAGAAGAGAAAAAGGCGCGTAATCCTGCTCCCAAAAGATGAACTGGTCTAACAGAACAACACTGACACCCCTTGCAAACTTCTCCCCAGGGCTACAGCTGTATCACAGACACATTTGCATATCTTGACATAATAAATAGCTCTCAGGATTTCATTTCCCAAATTTGCATGTAGCGTTCAAAACCTTAAGGGCAAATTCTTGCACGAGAGATTTACTGATGAACAAACAGAGGACCTTACATTCCATGGCATTGCCAGGTTCGCTTCATTTCTTCTTTAGTTATTTCACTGAGGAAGTAAAACCCTGATTTTGGCATTGCTTCCTCTGTAATAAACTGACCATTATGAATGCCAGAAGTACAGAGGTCTGCTGACAGGTAGGGAAAAGATTCTCAAGTCCATGGCTCACCTGTACTTTTCTATTAGCCTGCTGTCACCTTTTCCATCACAGTAACAGAAATACAAAGTGTGTTTGAGATCCAATGTAGGAACGAGACAATCACCACAGACAAACTCATGGGGGCTCAGGAAGGAACAAACACTCTAGGATCATCACTTCTTCATTTCTGCCTCTCCTGCCAGTGTTCAGTGGAAGATACTGCATATCCGCAGCGAGTTCCATATCAAGCATACCTAATTAATAATCCTCTTCTAGAACCAAGTCTGCCATGCACATCCACTATGCTGCAGGCCCTTCCTGGGAACCCATTTTGACAAAGAGGTCATTCTTCCAAAAAGGGAACGTCGTTAAGCATCTTTTCACACAAAGGTGAAACTGCGTGGAAAAACAGCTCTTAAAGCAAAACTGGTAAGAACAATATATAGCAAATTGTCTCCCTACCTAAGGAAACTGCACATTACATTATGAACTTGCAAAGTAGCCAGCTGTTCCTACAGTCTGTTCCATCTATGCAGACATTTGTCAAACGCAGCGAAGCTTCAGAGCTTCAAACCACTTGACACTACGATTATTCTAAGCAAAAACTAACAGCTTCCAGAAGGGAGAAATAATATAGAGTTGAAAATTCAGTCTTTCAACTCTAGTTGAGATCTCAGGGACATTTTCTGTGGTTAACAGGTCTAATATTTTTTAATCTATATATGAGAAATCAGTATTTTAAGAAGTGTTAAGAAAACACTTCACTTGTAGAACAATCTTACAGTTATTAATTGAAACTATTTCTGTTTTACCAACTCAGATTTCAACTTACAAAGGCTTACTGCAAGCCCCAGATTAAGCATTCATTTTGTTTTGGAACACTTACACATCAAATACCATGGAGGGAAGAAATAGATCTATTGGTTTCCCTTGAGGAACAGCAATACTTCTCATTAGAATTTGAACCATGCTTTCTGAACATCATATCTAACAGTTTAAACTTATTGGGGAAAGGATGAAAATAAGGATAACTTCCAGACATCAGAATATTCCCAAACCAACAAAGACTCTCACCTCTGCCCTTATCTTCAAGTACAGAGAGCAGTCATCACATCCTTCAACAAACAGAAACCATAGAGGAAAACATCTGAAAGAAACTACCCACTGAGGCACATCTTTCTGTTAACCATGGCAGTTCATCGAGTTCTCAGACACACATCTAAGTTCCAAAGCTAGAATCACGCAGCATAAAAAGCAAAGTGCTCTGATAATTTTGTAAAACCACAACTCTACTTTACTCATGATAACTTCAGATCTAAGAACAAGAAGAGATTGTGCAAAGCTGAACCTAGGCTAAGCAAACCAGTGCTGTTTTCTTACCATGCTCCAAAAATCAGAGAGAAACCACCCGACCTGACTACATACAACTCAATGCCTGTCTAAGTCAGCTCCATGTAAAGCCATGCAAAATTGCAGGTAGCATACACGTTACAAAAATCACCACATCCATGCACAGAAGGTGACGTCCCCGCTCCAATCTAGAGTTTCCTGTTACCTGCACTATTCAAACATTTATTCTATTTAAAGATCACAACCACATCCACTGGTTTGTCAGATATTTATACTCACCACTGACTCATTATTTAATCTTCTCTCCCCTGAAAAATCTCTGCCACTGTTTTCAGAGACACTCTTCACTCGATGCAAAAACAGAAGGCGGTCTTCAAAGCAAGCAGCCACCCTCTTTCCAAACCCAGCCACAAGTAAGGAAGCATTACATCAATGCTGCATGGAGAAGCTATGGCACCTCCCCAGTTCCCACAGCAAGTGAAGCAGAGATCTACGAGGGCTGACTCACACCTTGTTACAGCAGAGAGCACAAAGAGCCCAGGGTTAGCAGGCGGCCGAGAGGCCTCTGCCAGATACTTACTTGTTGAATCTGGGCTACCCTTCCTCTCATCTCTGGCCGCAGCCAGGGGGTTGGGAAAATTAATGAGAAAACAACAGGGAACGGACAACCTCCAAGCATAACCAAAGTTCCTAAGACAAATACAGAAGGCTCCATAAACCTAAGCATTTGTGCCCCTTCCTGCCAGGCTCTCACCTCTCCTGGTAACTTGGGATAATTCCTGCTCCAACACGCTGGGCTGGAAGCTGCTGCAGCCAAGTGCCTTCACGTAAGAAAGGAGTTTCCGGCAGCCTTGCTGAGAAGCCCCTGAAGCCATGCTAACAATTTGGTTATGCTCAAAAATATTCATGCTCCAAGCATAAGACAAAAGTTATCTTTTTTTTAAATCACTGTTCTTCACTTTCTTACCACTCTGAGCAAAAGAGCTGACAAAAGCTTTCTGCAAACTACAACTGGAAAAGCTCCAAGCTCAGTGAGAGCCCTACCAAGGGAACGAGTACAAAGAGATGGATACTCACTGTATCTTTTCCCACCTTTCGCTTTCGTATTTGCAATTTATTTCTGACTTGAGACTTGAAGCATCTCCCCTCACCAACTCCCTGTAGCTCGCGTATCTCCACTGCTTGAATTTTAGGTCAGTGCTCACACAGAGAGGTTATAAATATGGAAAACTAAACACAGACATGAAATAAAAAACGAGTGGGAAGTCAGCTATTGCAAGAAAAAACCAAACGTTAGAGACAATGCAAAGCTCAGCCCAGAGCCTGGTTTCTGAATCCCATAGAAACTCTTCTTTCCTCTCAACAAATCCTAGCAGATCTTCTTTGAAGGGGGAAGACTAATTTCACAAGGGACAGCACTAAAAAACTATTTTTTAATCTTCTCCCAAAACAGAACCTAGGATTAAGCGCAAGCCCTGCACCACTAATTTCAGTAATGATAGCTCACTGTGCAGAGCCTCAGGAAAGCTCAACCTGCTCAGAATGATATTCTGCCCCACAGCCTTACAGGCAGGACCACAGGCACTGCAAGAACCTGAGAACTCGTTAAGGCAACACAGAGCCAATTCACATTCAGAAGCACCAGAAACCATCTTTTCCACCCCAAAAAAAGCTTCTAAGAACAGAGATTACAGTGCCTCTCCAATGCGGAGAAGTTGGGCAGTGCTTTGGATTACATCAGTTCTCTCTCCCACACACCCATCAAGGAAGCGAGGCAGCAGCACGTCCCTCTCACAGCTAAATATAAAAGGAACGTGGGACTCGCTAATGTGCAACCCTGCGAACACATGTTTGGGAAATATGGCAGTTCGCTGGGTTTTTATGTAACCCGAAGGATGCTCGGGAGAAACCACATCTACCATTTTCCCTCATTAGCGCTTCATTCCCACGCGCCGACCCCAGCGCCGCTCAAAGCGGACGATGTGGTCGCTAAGAGCCCGCTGCACGAGAGGGGCAGAGCCGCACCGGCACCACCGCGCTGCCGCACTCCGAGCAGCGCTACGGGCACGGCGAGCAGCCCGGCGCGCCGCAGCCCGGCTCCTCCACCAGCCCCACGCGCAGCCCCGCACGGCTGGGAGCCGAGCCGAAGCGCAGCGCTGCCCCCGACCCCGCAGCCCCCGACCCGCGGCGCGGCGAGGGAGGGGCGGCCGCCACCATCTTGTCCGCACAAAGGCACGAAGGCGGCAGCGCCGCTCCCCCGGGCACCGAGCCTGCCGGCCCCGCCGGCCCCACCGCCCCTTCCCTCGGCGCCCCACTCACCTCCAGGCGCAGCGAGGCACCGCAGCCCCGCAGGAACTCGCGGATGTTGCTCAAACACTCGCCCTCCGTGCGCGGCTCCGGGTACACCTGGAAGAGAAGAGGCGGCGGCTCAGCGCGGACCCGGCCCCGCGGGGCGCGGCCCGGCCCCCGCTCCCTCACCTCCCGCTCCCTCCGCTCCTGCCTGGGAAGGGGTTGAACCGGGAAGTAAACACGGAGCGCAGGAAATGGCGTGCGAGGGCGGAGGGCGCAGCGCGCAGCCCGGCTGCCGCGGCCCCGGCGGCTCAGCGCGGAACGGGAGCGGGAACGGGAGCGAGAGGGGCGGGGCGCGGCCGCCGCCTGGCACCGGGCTGCTCTGAGAGCGGAATCCTGGGCGGGCTTTAGAAATAACTGAGAGAAAAGCCTGGGAAGAGCTCCGTGGGAAATGTGCCGGTACCCGGTTAATAATCCACTGGTCCGTGGTTTTTTTGTCAGCCACAGCCCCTTCCTACCTCGGGAAAAGAGGAACCCCACAGTGGAAAGCCGTGGCTGGACCTCAGAAACCTCAGCCCAAGAAGCCACGTTCATGCCTGGCACAGCTCAGCCTCTGTGCAGAATCTTTACTGGAGCCTTGCTTAGCTCACCTAATAGCACATAGAAGCATTGTTTCACCTCCCCCCAAGAAAAAAAGAAAAAATTGATTTTTTTTTTTTTTTTAAACAAATTAGTCCACCAAACAAACTATTGCTCAAACCAAGAGGTAAACAGACCTGCAGCCCCGGGCACGTCCTTCTGTGTGAGCTGGAAAGCCAAAGTGCTCTGGAAGTCTCTGGGTGCTGTGACCTTTGCCTGCACATTACGCTAGAGGAAGGCCTGCTTCACACATACTGATGGAAATCAAACTACATGCATAATATCTACCTTCACAGCACGTGGAGCTCAGCATAAGGCTGAGTCCAAACATCAAGCTGCAACCAAGGCAGGCCATCCTGCGGAGTTTGTATCAACTATTCTGACCTCACAGTACCACGAGCATCAGCAAACACACCTTAGAACAAAGAAATGTAAAACATGAGCTGCTATTGCTTTCTCAAGACAAAATTCAAATCAATTTCACACAAACACCACAGTTTTTCACAAGTAATTTGGCAATATGAATGGAAGAAGCTCCACTGTTCTCAAGCAAACATGCACACAAACACATTGATTGGTACTATGGTAAACTGCCATGGGTTGAGAATAATGTCTTGACTATACAAGAAGGTAAAGTCAGTGCCAAGGAAGTCCCACATGCATATAACAAACAGCCTGAGGAGGAATCACAGTGCATTTGGAAAGCACGCAAATGGCAATGGACCCTGCAGGGAACATGGCGAGTGTCATCCCTCCTGTGCTGGTTTGGTTTTTTGTTTTTTTTTTTTTGCTAGTTTTGCATTTATTGTATGCTATACATTGTGATTCTTTGGATTCATTCACTAGAAGTAGGAATCCTCAAGCTTAGCCAACCATCCCAACACCCACTGTTACAAACACTTCCAGAGCATGCTGTGGGTATTTCCACGTTTACCCTTCTGGTTTGCTCTACCTCATATTCCTGTCTGACATGGGATACACAATAACTACACAGTTGCACTCTACAACTTTTTTTCTTAAACTATTTGCATAGCAGCTGCTTTTGATCACCCTGCAGGGTAAAGGCAGGTAAGTACAGCAAATGCATTCAGAAAGCAAGGATAAACAACAAAATATAAAACCTCAGTGATTGAAGTAGGGTCATTCTCCAGAATCACTTATCTTAACAGACTGCCTGTACATAAAGACAGTGAAAAGGAGAGCTTAAATAGTTCTCCTATCCAATACTTGTTTCCTCCCCTGGCTGCCACAGACCCACACTGTCAGTTCATTAGCAGGGGCTGCCCTCTTATTACAGGCCTGGAGCATCCGTAGCACAAAGGAGCCTCAGTGTTGAACTGGAACCTCTACGTGCTACAGTCATACAAATAAAAAGGAATACATGTAATTAGAAAAGACAGGACTTCCAGAGGGACCTGACAGATTCTTAATTAAGGATCAGGGCTCCAGAGTGGAATTCAGAGAGACAAGGGAAGGTAATGCACAGAGCAGGAGCAACAGCCTACACCACTTCTGTGTGGTTCACGGACAGACTCTGATAGAGGCCAAAACTCTCAGGGAGCAGTTTTAGAAATTAGGGACAGCTCAGGAAGGACATGTATGCAATGTACCACAACTGCAAAGAAGTGGACTACATTTTTCTGCCATCCAGAAACAGTGTGTAATACAAATGGATGGCAGCCAGCTAACATTACATTTGTTTTGATCAAGTTGCCCAAGGAGGCTGTGGATGCCCCATCCCTGGAGGCATTCAAGGCCAGGCTGGATGTGGCTCTGGGCAGCCTGGTCTGGTGGTTGGCAACCCTGTATGTAGCAGGGGGTTGAAACTAGATGACCATTGTGGTCCTTTTCAACCCAGGCCATTCTATGACTCCAGAAAGTCTACGGCTTTAAGGAAAACAGCAAACACACTTTAAAAAGGGCAAAGCAGAGACAGGTAGAATTGAGCAAAACCATAACAGGAGCTGCATTAAGAAAAAAAATATGAAAAAGACCACCTTTTGGGCAGGGAAAGTATGCAAAGAAATTAAGAGAGGAATGTACAGCATAATAAATGAGTTTAAAAGACAGAAAGATAGCTCCTTGATTGTAAGGTGGCTGCCCAGAGAGGTTGTGGATGCCCCATCCCTAGAGATGTTCAAGGCCAGATTGGACGGGCCCTGGGAAACCTGGTCTACTATTAAATGTGGAGGTTGGGGGCCCTGCATGTAGCAGGGGGGTTGGAGATTCATGATCCTTGAGGCCCCTTCCAACCCCAGCCATTCTGTGATTCTGTAATGAGTAAACTATAAGTCAATATGAAGGTGACATCATCAGCTATTTATATGGAAAACCAGCTGCCTGCTTGCACTTGTATGATGAGTAAAGTGGGCAAAAGTAAGAGAAATCTTAAAAAAAAATAAAATAAAATAAAATAAAATAAAAGACAATAGCAATAGCTTGATTTTTTAACACTTCTGTGTAGTAATTCTGTTGTCATTCATCCATTTATGTAGTGTGACCTAGTAGGTACAACGTGGTTTAGTATGAAGGGAGAAGAGAGATCACCCGAGTTATGAGAAAACAGAAACCACCAGCAAACAGAATAGATACTGCCAACCAGCAGCTGTGTCCAGCACAACCTTAATGGTGTTCTATGCACTGTGAGTGCAGCTGCCTGAGTGTAGTTTAAAGATCCAGCCTTCAGGCAGGCACACCAGGAGAAAAACCCCACAAAGGGCCAGCCTTGTGCTTTAAAGAGTGTTACAAAAGAATAAAACCATAAGAGAATGTGTTTTTCTCCTGTAAGTATCAGGAGGATACAGTCCCATGCCACAGTATGTGACTGGATCATTTTTCCCATATATTAATTTTGATATGAGGTGACAGTAGAGGAATTTGATAGTTAAACTAAAAATATGGAGCAGGATTCTTAGAAAGGCACGGCTTGGGCTTTAGGCTCAATGGAGTGCTGCATCCTACTGTTTCTGCTCTACTCTGGTACTGAGATTTCCCAACCTATAAAGCCTGTTGCCACACCACCTGCAGCTTCCTGCTCACCTGGCTTCTATTCCATCAGGGCACTCGGCATCAAGAACACTTTGGGTGATGGCTTCTCCAGCTCCGAGCTCTTCTTCTGCATGTGTCCCAGAACACTGCTGCATCTAACCAGCCTTCATTGACAGTGACCTGCACTGAAACACACTGATGTTCTGCTTTAGCTGCTTCTCTCCCTTATTGCAAATAGCCCTCCAAAGCCCTCAGCTAATATTTTCAAGTTTGGGAAGAAAATTTACAGTGTTCTTAGAATGTCAATCAATTCCATGGCAGCCTTAATAAGCTGTTTCTTTGAGTCCCACACTACACTTAGAGCCACTTTTTCTTTTTCAACCTACCATTTGAAAATCACACTGTGGGCCTGATACAGCTGTTGGAGCTCATCCTTCCAGATCTGCACCTGTATTAAACAACATTCTGCAAAACAGTATGTTCTTTGCAGTGGAAGTACTGTACTTTTGTTAATTCCCTTGGACCCTGATCAAATTCCCATCAAAGTTTATAAACCTGCTCCCACGAGACAGACATTTGATTAAGGCTAAGATATAAACATATCAAGTTAAGGGCATCGTGGTATTCCAAACGATAGTTTTGTTTTCACATTACATTACATGTAGTTTTTTCCATTCCATTTTTATATCTCCAGGCACACTAAAAAAAAAAAAAAACAACCCTATGCTAAGACAGCACAAAGAAACTGAGAATGTCAAGCATGGAAAGCTGAGGATGAAAGCTGTTTTTTGCAGCTGCAGCTCTGAGCCACCTGTAGACCCACTCTGTGAACTGAACCAGGTAGGATTCTACTGATGCACAAAGCATCGTGAATATGCACACAGAGGTCCGGTTACATCTGGATGAGTATTTTTTCCAGCATTTTCAGATATTTCTAAATCCTTTTTTTTTTTTCTTTTTCCTGTTTTAAAGTAAAAGATGGTATCTGCATGCATGCAGATGTGCCAAGCCCTGTGCTATGTTACCAGCCGCACTGAACCGCAGGAACGAACACACAGCGCCCACAGGAAGAAAAGCATTTCCTCGGAGCTGCTCGGTGCAAGAAACACCAAGAAATTCTACTGCAGGGTAAAGGCAGAGGCTGCTGGAAACCCATTGCAGCGGATAACTGGGGAGCACCCTGCAGGCAGGTGGGGGCTTCGCACCCTCCCACAGCCCCGGCAGCACCGCCTGCGCAGCACGAGCTGAGGCGGTGGGAGCCCAATCACTCAGGGTTTGTTTACGCTGGGAGAGCTCTGCTGCTAGCGGTGCTGGCACCAGTCCTCCGTGTGGATGTAACATATGCCAGAGAGGGAATTCCTCTGCCAGCCGCACCGTACTTCCCCCGGTGACATCGATGGAGCCAACTAAAGCACAGCTCTGTCAGCACAGCTGTATCTGCCAGGGGTGTGGGATTTGATTGCTTTTTCACCTCAATGTGAGGAAATATT